AGGTGAATAAAACATTATTTGGCCAAATAATGTTTTATTGAATGATTTGCTTAATCAGGAACCAAAAACCTTTAGCTAAATGATTCTTTACCCTCTTTGAAATAGCTAGCAGCGAATAGACTTCAGGATTCCACTAAATGACTCTTGGTCAGACTTGCTAATGGAAATGTAAAGAGCATCTGAGGAACACATGAACACTAATGTTATATCAGTGTTTAAATCATCAGTGAATAAAGCTTCTCCAAGCTTCAGCAACAGCTCAACACATGTTTCTGTAGCATAGCATAGCATAGCGTAGCATGCAGTCCATTGTGTTAGCGTTGTCTTTACTATTCAGTAAACATGTTGTTTGTTCTGTCCTTAATCAGGCCAGATCTACAAACCTTTTTTTCCATATCCAGTTGGACAGCTTGAGTTTCATCCAGTTGCATCTTAGCAGTCAGGCCAGGCTGTCTCTCTGTCTCAGTGGCTCACCGCAGGGGTCCGCTTGGTCTCAGTGGTTCATCAAGGTATGCTTGTCATCCAGTCTGGCTCTGTAAGTTCTGGAATGCAAGAGAAATGTGTTGCAAAAGGTCTGTTTTGCAGCAGATTGTTTCTGAAAGGTTCTGACTTATCCTCAAGGATTCTGGAGATCTGGGTCTTTCCGCTCCGACAGGATCCGGACCCCAGCTCCATGGGCAAGGGAGAGGAGGCAAAGAGAGAGAGTCCTGTGTCCTCTGTGGTTTTGTCTGCTCTCACAGAGAGGGGGGTGGTTGGTCACACCTCTGTGGGAGTTCATGTGACTGGCCTGTGGAGGCGTTGTCTGAAAAGGGGGGGGGGGGCATGGAGAGATCTTAGAGCTGTTCAATCACCAAAGCTGCATTTCCTTCTCTGGCCATCATGTCAAGATGAAACATGGACACTGGTTCCCAATGTCCAACAACCATGATCATGACATATGGCACAACAGGGGGGGACAGAGTGGTCAGTAGTCCCAGGCCCAGGAGAGGGGGGGGGGGCACAATGGACCCTCTGACCATTAAAAATACAGGCAGAAGTAATTTTTCACAAAATATTTGTGACAAGAATATTTAATATGAAAATAACTAAATATATAAATATATCTGCATTAGTCATATGTATTGTTTTCTTTAAATAAGGGGCCATTAGAACTCCCCCCACCCAACTTAAAATGGTTTGACCAGGACAACAGTGGGCTGCAAATGTTAAAGTTTGTTTGGCTGCAAACTAAGAATGTCAAGTTTTCAGAAAAAAAGAGAAAAAGGGAAGATGACACCAAAGGCTAACCCTAACCCTACACCTAACCCTAACTAGCTGCACTCTAGAACATCCCAGGAACGCTCCAATGATGTTCAATGCTCATCCAGGTAGGATGTTCAATGATGAAATTAGACTATAAAGACATCAGAAATGACTTTACCTCTAAAAAATGTTACTGTTTGGCATTTTGAGACCAAGTCTGGCCACATTTATGTTTGGAGGACAAAACAATATTTCTGTAAACAGCAGATTATTGAATAAAATAAAAGGCAAAGGAGAATGAGGTATGCATTTATCTTGACTAGTTATTGTGTGTGTGTGGGGGGGCAAAGGTGAACATTCTGGTCCTCTAGAGAATGTCCTTTGTCCATGAGGTGTAGATGGACAGCAGAGTCTTGTCCGTTGTTAGGAATCTAGTTTGTTTGTTTTCTCCCTCCACCACCAGATGGTGCCCCGTCCTTGTTGGCCCTCCCTGCACACCTGCGGCTCCTTGGATCAATATCTGGAGGAGTATTTGAGCAGTGGGCTGTCACTACCTCGAGCCCAGAGTGTTTGCCAGTTTTGGGTACTGTAGCCAAGCTGAGTTTAGCTGAGTCTAATCTGAGTCTTTGTTTCTCTGAGCCTAACACTTTTTTTGTCTTTGCCTTTCGGCAGGAAGCCTTCCTGTGTAACTGGATGCCTGGCCTTCTCCCCCTGGAAGGATTAACTGAGTTAACACTGAGCAGGGGAAAAACTTCCATATGTGCCGTTCAAGTCCCTTTCGGAAATCCAAGTGACAGTCCGCTCCATTGCTCCTCAGGGTCCAACGAATGTCCCCTGTCCCCCTGAACCCCCTCAAACGTGAGTCCCGCTCCCACAGTACTAAAGACTTAGTCAATTTTCCAACGGTCCCTGAACTGATCACTGTGATCTCCTCGCCAGACTCCAGAGTTCCAGATCCAACTCCTGTACAATCTCCTCAATAAATCTGTTAAACTTTTCCACTGGTTCGCTGAGTGGTTCTCTGCATGTGGGTCAGATCTCTTAAATCGATCATGACAGTCATGAAGGAAGCCATCTTTGTTAAGAGAGAAAAAACAGCCTTAAACAGAGGAGGAGGACTCAGGTTCAGCGATACAGTTGATTCCTTCTTCCCACCATCATGATCCTCGTCGCCATGCAGGGGACCAAAACATCTCCCTGGGTCAGCCAGGCCAATGACCCTAACGACCCCCCTTTCAGAGGCATAGGCCAGTATCGGGTATTACAGGCTAACAAAAACCACAAGCGACTCCCCATTCCAAAGGGGGGGACCCGTTCATCCGTTTCTATTTGCATGTTTTCTAAACAAAAACCAGGCTTTGTTGGGCTGCTGGATAAAACCTGGAACTAAAAGCTATTTCTGACATTTAAGTTTTGAAAAAGCTTCCTGGATGGAAGAGAAACGTCTTCAGACTTGGAAACAAAGTCCAGTGGATTGATTTGAACTGTTTTAGAATGACAGTGACCTGGAGGAGCCTCCCCAGCATATAAACACATACAGATTGATCGTATGTTTGGTTGTTTTTCTCTGAGCAGCAGCCTCCTCACGGCTCTCAGCTCCATCCTTGAAGTAAAAAAGGAAAGACAGAATAAAGCAAATCCTCCAAATGATTGGATGAAATCGTCACAGATGACAGATGTGCTTGACTTGTGTAACAGTGGCTGCATGGCTGTGTGGGTGTAAGTGACAGAGGGAGAGCAGGAGGCGGAGCCAGATTATTGTGTGTGCCTGTATCCATCCTATAAGTGTTTCCGTGGGAGCGTGTCACGCTAAACACATGTGTGTGCAGCAAGTGTCGCCAAAGCTGCTGTTTCCTGATTGGCTGCTGCCTCCACCATGCAGTAGGCGCCCTGCTGACACTGAGATTGGTGTATGAGAGCCAAGGAGCGAGAGAGGGGGGAACATTACAGGAAAACAGGAGAAATTCAATCAGAAAGCAGATCCCTCCTACTTAGAGCCAGGTGAACTCAGTCATCTGCTGCAACAGCAGGTAAGACGCCTCCTTATGACCTCCATGTTTTTCCTGATTAGAAAGTTGGTCCTGTCTACTTAAATCAACAGCATTCTGGCTGTACCAATGACAGTCAGTAACATGTTAGATAAACATCCTTGGAGATGTTAGATAGGGATGGTTTGGTGTAAAAAGAGTTTTAAAGTGTTTTTAATGATCCGTCTCGGGGCTGAAAGCAAAGCGGAACATCTGGAGATGACAAACGTTCTGTTTCATTTTCACGGCTGCCATCAGTTTCTATTCAAAGTGCTTCATTTAATTAGTGTCAACAGTTCTAACAGAAAAGGATCCCAAGTCTTCTACGACTCACATTAGTCTGCCAGAGAAACGTTTCAATGACTCATTAAACTGTAGACATTTTAAAATAGAAAACTGTTCAGGGATGGAGGACAGGATTTGGTTTGTATTTAGTGAAATATCCAGAGCTGTGTGACTAGATGAGGTTATCCTGAAGCTTTCCTCACAGAGCGGACAGTTGTTCCTTCTGCTCCACAGGAATATGATTGATCTGAAAATGTGTCGTTGATCAGTGTTTCCTCCTCTCATCCAGATGGACAAAAATAAACTTTATTTATCTGACAACAAAGAAGAAGAAAGAACCAGAATTCAGGACAAATATCAGGTATGAAGCACCTGACTGTGACTCTTACAGGTAAAAATGAGTCAGAGCCAAATAAAGAAATCCACAGATTGGATCTAAGCTACAATCAAGCAGCAAAAACTACCCGAAAAGAGACAATTTAAGAGCGAATGAAATCCATCTACAGGCCAAGAGTTTGTAGAAAGGATTCCTGGGTAGAAGAAGGAACCCAGAGTGACAGACGGGATGTTTTCTGCTGAATTGATTGGAAACGCAGTGGATTTAACCAACAGGATGAATCGTTATGAGCTTCTGCCTTTATGAAGAACAAGGTCACAGGGACCCCCCCCCCCATCCCCCAAGCACACACAAACACGTGATGTCACTATGTCCTTGTGGGGACTTTCCACTGACACCCATTCATTTCTATGGTCTATCCCAGACCCTACACCTAAACTCACTCCTGAACCTCACCCTGAGAAGAGACCTTCTCCTCATGGGGGCCAGTCGTTGGTCCCCACAAGTAGCTATAAGTCCCCAAACCGAGCCTGTTTCTGGGAAAAGGTCCCCACAAGGGAACAAATCCATGGGCACAGTGTTTGAATTCCACCAGCTGTTACCAAACTCTACAGAGACGATCAATAAAGCCAGGCACCCTGCAGTCATGTAGACTGACTGTCACTGCTCTTAGTCCGTCACATCTAAACCTCATCAGCTTTTCTTTTAGAACAAATCTGCAACAGTCCAACACCGTTAAATGTTTCCGTCTTTAGTTTACTTGTTTTTATTGAAGTCCACAGAAAACGTAGAAATAAGTGTGATCAACGTTTGTTCTGGTTCAGATGGAAAGAAAGGGAAGAAAGCTTAAAGATGAAAGGAACACTCACTGGCATCAATCTAAGGACCACCAGAGCATTCTAGGTCCTGAGGCTCCAGTAGACCACCAGAGCATTCTAGGTCCTGAGGCTCCAGTAGACCACCAGAGCATTCTAGGTCCTGAGGCTCCAGTAGACCACCAGAGCATTCTAGGTCCAGTAGACCACCAGAGCATTCTAGGTCCTGAGGCTCCAGTAGACCACCAGAGCATTCTAGGTCCTGAGGCTCCAGTAGACCACCAGAGCATTCTAGGTCCA